CTTGTACCAGGGATAGAACTCAGGACCTTGCACTTGTGAGGCAAGCAGAAAAACCACTGAGCTAAATCACCAGCCTTGGAATTGTGCTCTTAAGTCACAGCATACACAAATATCAACCCAAGATAGATTTAAATGTAAGGAATGTCACGGTAAATCTACTAAAATAAAATAAAGGAGAAAGCTTCTTGACATTCATCTGAGCAAAGTTTTTTTTTGGGGGGGTGACTTCAAAATCACAGGCAATGAAAAGAAAAATAGATAAATGAGACTACATTAGACTAAAATGCTTTTATGCAGCAAAGGAAACAATCAAGAGCAAAGAGACAGCCTGTCAATGGGAGAAGAGATTTCTAAACCACACATCTGAGAAAATGTTAATATCTACTAAATTTGAAACTCAACCAGAAGCACAAAAAGCAAATAAAAGTGGTCACGGAAGCTGAATGGACATTCATCAGAAACAATACCAATAGGCAAGAAATAGATGAAAAATATTCGACATCGAAAATCACCAATAAGATGTAAACTAAAACCACAAACAACATACAATTCAAAACTGCCACAATACAGAATTAGCATAGAGTAGAATGTCTTTAGCCTTCAAAGGGTAGATGACAGATACACAGGGAGATCACTGAGCTAAAGTGAAATATTCCAGGCACCGAAAGACAAATGCTGTATGATCTGCTTTATATGTGAAATCTTAAAGAAAAATTGAATTCCATAGAAATTCAGTGAAATAATAGCTACTGGTGGTGGAGTGTAGGTGGGAAGATGCTAGACAACAAGTCATATTTTCAGTTTGGCAGGAGAAACAATTTGTTTTGGACGTTACTATGGTTATAGCTAATTATAGTGTAATATAATTTAAAAAATTGCTAGGACAATAGATTGTAGACCTAGTCACCTCCAAAAACTGATAAAAGTTTGAGTTGGTAGATATGGTTATTAGCTTTATTTGATAATTGTCAATATATATAAATATTATTTTGCATTATATATATAATCAATTCAATCTTAATAAAGCAGAAAATAACCACTATTTTCCAACATTGTTGCAGTGACCAGTTGTTCCTATGAATAATTGATTCTCTTTTCTTACTTCCTTATTTTATTTATTAATTTTTTAGTGTATGTGAAAGTTTAGAAATAATTTTATTACATTATTTTTAAAAATTCTATACACAGACACATCCTAAAACATATTTCACACAATTTTCTGTGGGCTATTTATTTTTTTCCTGAGCCAAACATTTTTTAGTAAGTAATTGCTACCAGGAAGAAAAAAGTATTTTCTCGTTTATTATGAACTATTCATAGCTTCAGATCATTAATTGTAAGAAATATAGGATTAAAACTCAGAATATTAAAATATTTAATGGGGAAGGGGAATAAGGGAAAGGAAAAAATGTGAGAAAATGTAAAAATGGAGTTAAAGTGTTTGTAGATGGGGAGGGGAGGAGGGGTGAAGGGAGGGTGGGGACAAGGGGAAAACATGAGAACCAAGACCTGGCATGGAAAGGTACAAGATCCCAGTAATGAATGTAACTGTACTGTGTACCTAGAATGTACCAATAAACTCAATTAAAAATAAAATATTTAATGATAGGTGAAGGGAGGTCAGGGGTATGGGGAAAAAATGAGAACTCAAACGTGTCATGTAAAGGTACACGATCCCAATGATGTATGCAACTGCACTGTCTACTTAAAAATACCAATAAACTCGATGAGAAAAAAAAAACACCAATAAACTTAATGAAAAAATATTTAATGATAAAAATTGAAACATCTAACTTAAGGATTTTTTTTCTGTGCTCCTCAAACTTTTAGTGGAAATATCAACCTAGTGGTCTAAGTAGAAATGCGACTACAAACCTGTTTCATTTATGAATTGAACACCAAGGAAACAAAGCCTGCTCAAAGAGAGTTACAGATATTAGAAAGTCTTCTGGCTTGGCAAAAGTTCAGGCCATAAAAATTGTTTCCACAAATGCACACTGGAAATCTCTGAAAAAGAAAAAGGTTGACACTTTTACGATGGCAAATTGAAATTCTTGATGAATCTTATAATTCCCGTTAGGCTGAAAACTACAATGATCCTCCAAGGAACCACAGGTCAAGGAACATGTGAGGAATGTGCCCTTCTCCTGAACTGGTTTCAAGGGAATGGTCTCCAGCCCAGCCCTTGTTCTTGTTCTACGTTTAAAATGAAGGAAAGTGGACTGCACAGGTATGGCTCTTTGAGATATAATTCCTCAATTCTCTAGATAATAACCTTCACTAGATAACTTTTACTAGATAAATGTATATCCAACCCTCCGAATTTGGATGCATTTCTCATTTTCACATGCAATTTATCTAACTTGATCTACAGAGTTAAATAAACATAAATCCAGCAGGTAAGGAAGCAGAGGATACATTATATAATTTACTACGGTGATACAAAGAGCATCTTGCTTTTCTAATTTGCTGCTCTCTGCTTTCTCTTTCATGTGCCAGGATGTCCCCTGAGACCTCTTCAATTCCTTTCATTTATGAAGTAGACACTTTCTTGCAGATATATTTTCTAGGAATCAATCATATTGCAACCTTCTTCAAAATGACTTTAAATTGCCAAAAATGAAAAAAGAAAAGAAAAGAAAGGTTAAGATACATAATATGCTGCAGGTAATAAACAAAATAGCAGATAATATAGAAACAACTTGTCTTCAAGCGCAGACTCTGCTGTTGGCCAGAGTCCAGGTTACTGACAGGGCCAATACCTTCTCTGGCCGGATGAAGAAAGACAAGGCACGTGAAGTAAATGGGGTGTGAGAGTCTCTAGGGGTTCAGACTCTGGAGACCTGACTGGCGCGCCTTCAACCAATTTCAGGGAAAAGTTATTTTCTGTGTTCCAAGTGTCTCATGAAGAAGGAAAGAATATTTTCCTGATTGCCCAGGAAGCATACGTCGAAGAAATGCCTGGGCACAACGAATTAAAATCTTTTTCACTTTATCAACATAAGCCCACCACCTATTGTGTCAAATAGACTATAACAATTTTTATTTAACAAGCAAGTGAAGCAGTAACCGTTCTAGAGATTTCAGTGTTATGTCATCTGAAAAACTTCACCAACATTTTCTCTCACACCATAAATGATACACGATGATTTCGATCCACAAAGGTTTGTTGACGTTGGCACCTGCTGTTCTGCCAGGCACAGTGTGTCTACACTGATGGGCTCCGCTACACAGCAGAAGAGCCGGGGTCCCACCAGACTTCCACGTGGGGCCTCTCAAAGACAAAGCTCTAAAGCTTCTGTGGCTGAGGGCATCTGGAGTTTAAGCACAGCACCATTCTCTCTCTCAGCTTGGCCCTGGGCAGTGACGCTTATACCACATATGCTCCATAGTTCACTTAAGACTCTCGCTCAGTATTATAGGAAAACAATAGCCTATCCCTACCCTTCATAGGTCCTAGAAATGAATGCCGCGGAGAATGAATTTGAATGGAGATCTTATAATTTCTTTACTAGTCCCAGAACCATCCCTGTATGGTTGAGACACTGGAATCAAGTTCATTAGTTTCACACCTTTTCCTTCCTTACCCTAAAAGTTATTTTCCCCTGAGCAGCTAATTCTTTCTCTGCTAATAGATTTCTTTTGCATATTCCCTACTATAATCACTGTTCCTGAATCCCCATGCCCCGTTTATATTCTTCGGCAGAGGGGTCCTGCGCCCCATAGACAAATAGACTCCTATTAGGATCTGCTATCCAAGTCACCAGATGCCTGCAGACGTCCCATCACTTACCAAGACCAAGTTTAGGGCAAAGTTTGTAGCAGCGTGATGCTTCTAATAAAAGGCACATGGAGAGAAAAACAAAAATTTATTGGAAAGATCAACCACAAGCTGCTAACAGTGATTTTTTTTTCCTCTAGTGTAGACTTGTATATGAGTTTTGATTTACTTTTTTCATTTGCTTGTATCTGTACTTTCCAGGAAAATTACAGTGAGTCTATATGAGCTTTTAAAGCCAAAGGAAAGAAAAAAAAAATTAAATGATATTGTCCTTGATTCCCACTGGAATCTTGAAGTAGCCTGTCCATCGCAGTCCAAAGACAAACTGGGGAGAAATCCCAAAGTAATCGGAGAGAGAAACATCCAGAAGAGCAAAATAATATCAAAATTCCCTAGGTAATAGGTGGCTGTTCTGAAACTGTCTGTGAGAAGTGGTTGGAGGAGCAAGACCCAATGGAAGGAGAAAAACTTCCCGAGGAGAAAAACTAGAGTTCTGTGCTTTTTTTCCTACCACTTTTGTGTGGGTTGAACTGTTCCCCCATCGATGTGGTAATTCAGCTTCTGGCCCAAGTTGCCTCAGAGATTAAAATAGAGTAGCAGAGGAGACTTGGTGTCGTTCATATACTGCTGTGCAGGGAAGACTTCACATTGCAGGCTAGCGGCTCCTACCTGAAAACAGTTTGCTTAATCCTTTGGAACTTGGCTGGTGGGAATTTGGCTTCTGAAACCTTTCCTAAAGGACAAGCCTATGTCCTGTATGTACAGTGCTCAGACAATGTGATTCATGGTGAAACCCTGCTTCTCTTCTAGAGTGTGGAATTTTACAGTCATTAGACAGAAATTGCCTATGTGAGAAACCTCCTCCAAAAACCTTAAATTCTAAGTCCCTACCAGGCTCACCTGAAGGGCACTGGAGAGTGGGTGTAGCCCTGGTGTCCTTAGGGAGGGACTGTATAGGAATCCTGCATGTGGAGTCCTCTACACATTGCTTTGTCTTTTTTTTTTTTTTTTTTTTT